GTGTATGTCACTGAACTTCTCTCAAACGACTGGACCGATTTTGATGAAATTTTTTGTGTGTGTTCAAGGGGATCTGGGAATGGTTTAGATTCACAAATCAGCCCGGCAGATGGCGCTGCAGTCGAAAAGGATAAATAACCTAAACAGCTAAACTAATTTGAATGAATTTGTGTTTATACATTCAAGTGGATATGCAGGACAACGTCTGTTGGGTCCGCTAGATAATAATATAAAAAAACATAGTTTTCTCTATACAGAACCCCAAAAACGACTACAAACTTAACGAAAATCCGAAAATCACATTTTATATTGACGCCACAGAATGTATGTCGCACACACCATACACAACACATATGTGTTTGTTTTAATACATAAAACATACATACTAATATTACATATATAAACGTCTTCATGTCTGTTTGTTTGTCCGTCTTTCACGGTTATACGGAGCGACGAATCGACGTGATTTTTTAAGTGTAGATAATTGAAAGGATGGAGACTGACATAGCATAGCTTTCTATCTCTTTCTAACTCCCTACTTTCCTAAAATGAGGGGTTGAAGTTTGTATGGAACTGGTCGCTGTTATCAATGTAGAAAATGCCATAAACCTTCATAAGTGTTGGAGAGCCATGCTTCGGCACGAATGGGCCGTCTCGACCGGAGTGATACCACGGTCTCACAGAAAACCGATGTGAAACAACGCTTGCGTTGTGTTTCGTCGTGTGAGTGAGGTTACCGGAGGCCCAATTACTCCTCTTCCTAATCCCCGTCTCCCGAATCAACGAATCCTCCACAATCCTCAAATTCCTAATTCCCAAAAGGCCGGTAACGCAATTGTAACGCCTTGGTGTTTCGAGTGTCCATGGGCGGCGCCGATTGCTTACCATCCGGTGATCCGTCTAATCGCTTACCGGCTTATGCTATAATAAAAAGAAACCTGAAAATTGGTATGCGAACTATTGGTGAATAACAAAGCAATTGTTCATCATTTTATTTAACCCTTTGAGTACCGTCATTATAGACACAATTAAAGAACAATAGGTTGCAGTCACCGCCTCACCGGTGTCCTCGCGGTGTTTGACAGTTTAATCTGCCTTCAATCACTTTAATTACACTAGCGGAGACGCGGGCAAAAGCTAATAATACATATAAGTGTAATTAATTATTACAGTCTTATTGTTTTTGAATAACATTTCAGTATTTCAAGCATTCAAAAGCATTGTTAAGGTATTTCTTTTGAGTCTAGATTTCGATGCGTAGTTTTAAAATAAATATTAACTACATTTTCTGCCTGCCTCATTGGCCGAGTGGTCGCCGGTGTAAGTGCCGGGCAAGGGGTCTCGGGTTCGATTCCCGGGTCAAACAAAATACTACTGGGTTTTTCAAAAAATTCACAGTAGTAGCACGGAGTCTGGAATTGTGCCCGGTATATGGCAATAGGCTCACCCTCTATTACATGGGACTTATAACATAAATTGTGAAAAGTGGGTGTTATATTGTACAGTGGCATTAAGTACTTTTATGTACACCTCCGCCTACCCCTTCGGGGATAAAAGGCGTGATGTTATGTTATGTTATTAACTATTTTCGAAAATCTGCAGAGGCCTTAGTACGAGTTTGAAATACGTTTAAAGTATTCGAAACCAGTACTCGTTCGGCAATCTGATTGGCCGGCGCCAATGAACCAACCAATCAGAGCGCCGAACGCGTATTAGTTACAAATACTTTATACGTACTAACTCGTACATAACCTCGTACTAGGCCTCAGTTGTCAGGGACTGCTTTGTCGCATGATTGCAAAACCGACTGTCGAAGTAAAAACTCTGGGTTTCATTGCCGGGTTGGACAAAGTAGTCTTAAGTTTTTTTACGATTTTGTACGTAGTCTAGAATTTTAGCTATAATAGGGTAGATGACTAATTTTTATTTTAATGTCCGTCTTGTAGATTATTCTAAATTATTTGACACGTGTTTTTTATTTTCTTACGGATACGAATACTTTCGACGATAATATTGATTTGAATGGTCGCGTGACGTCACTTCTAGAGCCGTTTTATACGTAGAAATGACGTTTTAGCCCCCACTCCTAAACTTAACTCCGCTTTATCTAATGATTGTTTTCTTATACAACAAAATAAAAAATACGTATCTAATATTTTTTCATTACCTAACTGATGGACTAATTAGATTTTTAATTTTCATACCCTGTCATCATCCCTATTACACAGTTTAAAATTGGTTGCTACATTATACATATAGGCACCTCTGTCTACCTCTTCGGGAATAAGAGGCATGTTGTTATGTTTATTAGACCCTAGACAACAATTCACTATCACCATCATTCCGCTTTCCAAAAAGGCGTCCTCCACGTGAAACGACTACTCGCCACCGGCATCCATTGTCTCCTCGCGACTCTGACAATGTCGATTCACCTTGCAGTACTCCTTTTTTGAGGGGCGAAACACTTCCAATGACTTCACTTGCATGAGGCGGGAGAGAGTGTCAGACAACTACCCCTAATTGTAACAAACACTTTTGTCCCTTCCAGTTTCTAACAACTACCAGAAAGTTAAAGTTCGGCGGTGCATTAATCTGCCGTCACCACTCGACACTGGCAGTATAGTCGACAACACAGTGCAATAATAAATAATCTAATCAATTTATGGCAAATAACCACAATTTGGTACTTTAACACAAACAAAATACAAAATAAATAATCATCTGTCAGTCAGTCCGTCAGTGAAACTAGGTGAAGCTAGGTGCTCATTCCAAAAAGTAGATTCGAATGGAGAAGAACGAGCAAGAAACTTCATTCGTTACTCTTTTTAAAAAAAGTATGTTCTACAATGTCTCTGATACATATTTCAATACTGTACGCATATGTAAGAACAATGCAAAGACATGCTTGACGAATTATACTAATAACTTACTAAAATTTAAAAAAAAATAAAAATCTTGAAGTCCAACATGGTGCTCACATATGCATACTGACAATAGATATGCATATTGTCCACAGAGGACTTGAACGGATTGCTGAGATTCCAGGTCGAAGTAGGAGTAGGAAAACCCCGTTCCTTTTAGTCAGTTAAAGTCTGAAACTCCCTCTTGCCTAACTCGGACCGGACAAGTCATTGGATGTTTTTCCCCCGTCAGAAAAAGGGGAAATTTGGAAAAATGTTGAATAAAATATCAGTATTTTCAAAAATAAGGTATATTTTATTTACATTACACATTTTTTTTATATCTGTTGAACAAAACCAGTTTCAATTTTACAAATATTGAAAGGATACTCGATTTTACATTGTACATAAATATCGTGTCGTCTCTGTCATTCTTTAAAGAATTTGTAGAGACAGAACTATAGTTAAACGCAGTCCTACTGATCGTCAATTAAACTTAGAAGACATTATATTTCATGTCCCTGATGGTGTGCATGACATCTACAAGATGAATTAATCTGTGAAAAAAAAACAAAATACTTAGAAATAGGTATTAAGTATGGGGTAGGTACCTAATTTTTATTTTAATGTCCGTCAGGTAGATTATTTTAAATCATTAGACACGTATTTTTTATTTTCTTACAGAAACGAATACTTTCGTCGATATATTGATTTGAAATGTCGCGTGATGTCACTTCTATGTACATTTTATACGTAGAAATGATGTTTTAGCCCCCACTCTTAAACTTTGATTCGTATTATCTAAAAATTATTGTATTATAATCAAAGTCAAAGTCAAAATCATTTATTTCAATTAGACCAGTAAGGCACTTTTGAACGTCAAAACAAAATATTTAAATATTAAATAATAAGAAAAAAAATGTCAGTCTGTAGGTCAGTCCTCTAGTGAAGCTATTTTGCTCGTTCCAAAGTGTAGATTCCTATGGAGAAGAACGAGCAAGAAACTCCATAGGTTACTCTTTTTCAATCATGTTCACAATACAATTTTTGGTTACATTCTTCCGTTGAGTTCAATAATGTGAGAACAATGTAATACCAATATTTGGTCAAGGAGACGGAAAAAGAAAATAACCTTGAGGACAACAAATTTAATACAGTCTGGAGCTGACCAGTCCCATTTGACAGCGCCCGTTCACGAACATGACACGTACACCAGCACCGCCCAACTCGACCATGTTATAGGGAATCGAGCGATCCACTGCCCGTGCCACTGCCAATGAGACTTTTGAGTGAGCATGACAACTCCAAGCTGACACACATGCATTCTACTAGTCTAATTTAATTTAGTTAGTTACAGGGCTCTCACATTTACAATACTTATATAAAGTTTTACAGTGTACATTTGAACAAAATGGCTGTATTTGACATGATTGGAACTCATTGGAACATCAATGTTTTTCGCTATCCTGTGGAGCCGGACCAGCATATACGACCAAATAAAAAATACGTGTCTAACATTTTTTGATCACCCTGTATACTTGTACATAATATGTTACCCTGTCATCATCCCTATTATAACAGTTCATAAACTCACACCTTTATTTTATGGTAAAAACTGAAAGTACAGAGCGCCACCTATTACGCTCCTTACATGCTTAGCTCCGCTTACGATCTTAAGCTTCTACACAGCTTGCTACGCGCAGTAGGTACAGCTGTGTACAGTCTGTCACGCTCTCAGCACTCCCCTACACTTCCCTAGTGCGCTACATGCCGCACAGCTTGCTTCGCGCAGTAGTTCCAGCTGTGTACAGTTTGTCACGCTTTCAGCACTCCCCTACACTCCCCTAGCGCGTTATATATCACACCATGACACAACTTGCTAAGCGCAGTACTTACAGTTGTGTACAGTCTGCCACTTTCTCAGCACTCCTCTACACTCCCCTAGCGCGCTACATGTCACGCTGCTATTACGCTACGCGCTGTATTTACAGCTGTGTACTGTGTCTGTCACTCTCTCAGCAAATTAATTATTGCAAAATATTTTTGTCACATTTTCTACTAATACTTACAATTTTTATTATATTTATAGACTGGCTAGAATTAAGTGCTGTCAGTTGATGCAGTTACGCTTTCTGCAAATAAAAAATCATTTTTAGTTAATTTTCGAAAACAAAACATGTTTATAATAACCGCAAGTCAAAATCAATTAGAATAGGAAGGCACTTTTGAACGTTAACAAAAATTTAAAGTGAAGGTACGTAAGACGTGTAGCTAGCCTGAAATGTAACACCTACTTTATTCCAAACTTAATTATTTCATATGATTTTATAATAACTATCGTGAGACATACTAAATTAAGTAAAAACTGAGTAAAGTAAAAAAGAGTGAGCTGCGCGACGTCGCCGCGACCGCGCACGCTGCTCATGAGGAAGAACCCCTCTGTGGTTCGAAACTAGTAGAGCTTTTCTCAGTGTATTCATGTGAGTAACCCGCGTTTTTACTTATTTCATATGAGTCTGACATTTCTATAATTAACTTTGTTCGTATATAATAACTACAGGTGTGATCCATAGGTCGCTGGTTCATATCCGGCTCGAAGGACCAAATGTCAAAATTTCTTGATTTAAATGAAAATATAATGAATAGTTGAGAATAATAATTTGTTTTGTAAAATAATAAACTAACGTAAAATGGATTTAGTGATCTGTATGAGCGTGAATGCTAATTGAAACAGAATGATTGAACATTATTCTTTAAACATTTTATATTAAACCCATACGTGACGACTATTCAGACGACATATTCAGATACTAATGCAACTTATGAGAACGCACGGTGGACTTGATTGCTCAATTAGGCTCGATACGAACTCAACTGAATAATTATGTAAATTAATTACGAGGCGTAAAAACGTTGACTTTAAATGTGTATGGTTGCACCGTACACCGGATTCGAACCAGAGTTCAAGTTTCGCTTGAAATTTTGTAATATCTTGTAACATCCAGCATTGTTAAGCCAGGCAGTTTTAATTTTGGAAGAAGAAAGGAGTTTGGGAATGGTAATGGAAGATCAATATCAGCCTCTAGATGAAGATACAATACTGATACAAAGAAGACCTATTTAGTGCCTATATACCTAAGTAAAGTACTAGAAACAATGTAATAGTTTTTGAAAAAAATATAATACCTTTTACTTTCTTTTCCTTAACCCTGAAAAACATGTAAAAAAATTGTAATTATTCTTTGTCAACGCATAAACAGTAGGGGACTGTACACAGCTGGAACTACTGCGCGTAGTAATCTGTGTGACATGTAGCGCGCTAGGGGAGTGTAGAGGAGTGCTGAGAGCGTAACAGACTGTACACAGCTGTAATTACTGCGCGTAGCAAGTTGTGCGACATATAGCGCACTAAGGAAGTGTAAGGGAGTGCTGGCAGCGTGACAGACTGTACACAGCTGTAACTACTGCGCGTAGCAAGCTGTGTGACATATAGCGAGCTAGGGGAGTGTAGAGAAGTGCTGAGAGATTGACAGACTGTACTCAGCTGTAACTACTGCGCGTAGCAAGCTTTGTGACATATAGCGCGCTAGGGAAGTGTAGGGGAGTGCTGAGAGCGTGACAGACTGTACATAGCTATAACTACTGCGCGTAGCAAGCTGTGTGACATGTAGCGCGCTAGGGAAGTGTAGGGGAGTGCTGAGAGAGTGACAGATTGTACACAGCTGTAACTACTGCGCGTAGTAAGCTGTGTGACATATAGCGAGCTAGGGGAGTGTAGGGGAGTGCTGAGAGCGTGACAGACTGTACACAGCTGTAACTACTACGCGTAGCAAGCTGTGTGACATGTAGCGCGCTAGGGGAGTGCTAAAAGCGTGACAGAATGTACACAGCTGCAACTACTGCGCGTAGCAAGCTGTGTGACATGTAGCGCGCTAGGGGAGTGTAGAGGAGTGCTGAGAGCGTGACAGACTGTACACTGCTGTAACTACTGCGCGTAGCAAGCTGTGTAACATGTAGGGCATGCTTTTTAAACTTGTTTGAGTGGTAAAAACAGAGTAGAACATGTTTGTATACCTCCCCTTCTCTACTTTTGGTCAACCAGCTGCTGAACCACGTGTCACAGTTTTAATCTACGTACGGAACTATTTTTTAAGTGAACCACAGATTGTTGTTTCTGGTCTGGGTGTCATGAGTATGTGAAATTGTATGTTTGTAAATATACCCATCAAAAATAGTGTTAAGCAATGTTTAAACAAAACTATACCTGAATCTGAAAGTTTCAGTGGTCGTCTCTTCTGTAAAGGCCCTTGCAACATTTGAAGAGGCCTCAGTGGTCACCTGGAACATGTAATGGTCAAAAATCAAACATGATATAATGATAAAACCGTAAAAAGACCAAGTACCCCGAGAAATAACAAAATCTCGCACTGAATCAAGAAAGAAGAACGAAAGATGGCGGAGGCCCAATTACCCTCCCCTTCCCCAATCTTCCCAATTCCTGAATCCCCAACGATCAATCCTCAAACTCCTAATCCCCCAAAATGCCGGTAAGGCACTTATAACGCCTCTGGTGTTTCAGGTGTCCATGGGCGACGCCGATTGCTTACCATCAGGTGATCCGTCTGCTCGTTTACCGGTTTATGCCATAAAAAAAGAAATTTTGTTTATTTGCACACCGTCACAAAGTACAATAACACACAAAATAAATTAAAACAGTGAAGACGGCGCAATAAGGCCAGAGCTCAGCTTAAATGCCGTGACCCGAGTGTGCTCGAGTCGCGGCGCTCATTTTCAGCACTTGATTGTGACTATTATAATGTAATCTCTTCTCTTCTTCTCTTCTCTGTCGTTTCGCTCTTGGCAGAGCGGTCGTGGTTACATTGAGGCGGCCGTATTTGTGTTGGAGGCCGATACAACTTTCCTCACGACCTCCCGCCATCTCTCTCTGTTTGTGAATTGTCTGGCGCAGTCTGACACTGGGTTTCCCGTTGCCGATTTGACTTGATCAGTCCAGCGCATGGGTGATCTGCCTCGTGATCTGGTTCCGTCTACTTTCCCCTAAACGACCAGCCGCTCTATGGAGTTGTTATCACGACGGGAGACATGGCCAAAGTACTGCAGTATGCGTGTCTGTACTATGGTTGATAGACGCTTTGTGATGCCGAGTTCTCGGAGTATGGATAATGTAATACATATAATAAAAATACCTCATTCGCCGAGTGGTCGCAAGTGCGACTGCCGGGCAAGAGGTCTCGGGTTAGATTCCCGGGTCGGGCAAAGTATTACTGGTTTTTTTTTACATCTCAGTAGTAGTAGATAGTCTGGAATTGTGCCCGGTATATGGCAATAGGCCCACCCCCTATTACATGGGACTCATAACATAAATAGTGAAAATTGGGTGTTATGGTGTTATTGTACCTCTACAGTGGTATAAAATCCCGTTGTGGCGACGCATGCCACATGTCTACGGATGACGTCACAAGAATCCTACATCGCACATGCAAAGCTTACAAGCGAATAAACACGGATAGAAAATCCCAACGAACAACTGTTGGGCAGAAAGCCCGCCAGGCACGATCACCTCGCCTGGTCGGAGGATCCTCCTTTTCCGATCTTAGGGAACTATACTCACTGTTCCCTAAACCGTAATGTGCACCTCTGCATACGCCTTCGGGCGGTTGTTGTTTTAATTGTTTTTTATTCATTATGTTTAACGATCATGTCGCTTACCTCGTGTGTATGATGCTCATTAATAGTGGGTACGACTTTATCTAAGTCTCCGCCGAAAGGCTGTCGAGTGGACTTCGGAGGTGTGTCTACGGGACCCATGTTGAAAATTATAGAATGAATTATGTTTCTGAAAGAAGATAGGTATATTTATCTATTATTTATTAGCTTCTGTCCGCGACTTCGTACGCGCAAACCGGTTTTTTTCCTATCCCGTTCGTGATTTTCGGTAAAAACAAAAAATAAACGTATTGAATTAAAAGTACCCTATGACCATCTCCTATTTCTAAGCTACCTCCCCACCAATTTTCATCTAAATCGATTTAGCCGTTCTTGAGTTATAAATAGTGTAACAAACACGACTTTCTTTTATATATGTAGATTGCATATGGACTGCCTCGTTGGCTGAGTGGTCACAAGTGCGACTGCCGGTCAAGAGGTCTCGGGTTCGATTCCCGGGTCGGGCAAAGAAATACTGGGTTTTTAAAAATTCTCAGTAGTAAGTAGCACGGAGTCTGGAATTGTGCCCGGTATATGGCAATAGACTCACCGCCTATTACATGGGACTCATAACATACATAGTGAAAAGTGAATGTTACATTGTACAATAGAATTAAATGCCGTAATGTAATCTGCCTACCCCTCCGGGGATAAAAGGCGTGATGTCTTTAGCCAAAACGCCATTTAGCGCTTGTCTACATGTAGAATAGAAAACCAAATTATATGGAAATGACGTAAATTTTAACACTTGTCAGTGTCATCTCCATACATTTAGTTTTCTACTCTCTCTGTAGACAAGCGCTAAAGTGGCGATTGGCTAAAGGCACTGGAATGACACATAGGATGCTTTTTTCAGACAGGATTGTGGGCAAGGACGCTGGCAGAAGGGAGAATAAGTTTTTATAATAACTATCGTGAGACATACTAAATTAAGTACATTAATTTTACTATTTGTACACTTAACCTAATTTTATACTTAACATTCTAGTTGATCATAATTATACCTATCTTTTTTAGAGGGCAAGATGTACGAGCTACGCTGTACATTGACTTTGTCGTCATACGCGCGAATAATTAAATCGCCGTGATCAGCATTTCTGAACATTATAAACTTCATAATTAATTTAATTCAGTAGCAATAAAACTATCTAAGAGATTGGTCGTCTACTCATTTAACATAAACAACATTCAACATTGCAACATAAACTTATAATCAACACTGTAGGGAAATAAAACCCCTACATATGGTGGCGGCGCACGGCGACTTCGCGCAGCTCACTGTGTCGCGACGTCGCCGCGACCGCGCACGCTGCTCATGAGTAAGAACCCCTCTGTGGTTCGAAACTAGTAGAGCTTTTCTCAGTATATTTACGGGAGAATAAGTAAGAAAGAAAGAAAGAAAGAAATACCATTTATTTTGCTACGACACACAACAAGAATCTAGAAACCCAAAAAATAGCCTATGGTGCGTCGCAGCGCAATAGGCTGGAGCTCAGCTTAATACCGTGGACCGCGCACAGAGGCTCGAGCCCACGGCGCTGATGTTCAGCACCAGCCCGTTGTAGTACGTACTAGTTACACCTACGGTAACGCTGTTCGGAGCACAGTATGATGTATATAATGAACTAGCTTCTGCCCGCGACTTCGTACGCGCAATCCCGATATTTCCCGTTCCCGTTCTTGATTTTCGGTAAAAAGTAAAAAAAAAAGAATTGGGTAAAAAGTATCCTATGTCCGTCTCCTGGTTCTAAGCTACCTCCCCACCAATTTTCATCCAAATCGATTTAGCCATTCTTGAGTTATAAATAGTGTAACTAACACGTCTTTCTTTTATATATATAGATTAATATAAAAATGAAAACAAAACAAAATCAATAGCAACGATTACTGCCAAAAATCTAAATATATGGATACAAAATAAATAATTAAAATAATAACAAGAACAAAATTATATTATACATACATATGTATTAATAACAATGGCACATAGTGAAAATAAATATAATTACATTAAAAAAAAATAATGTTGGATGCATCACCATAGATAGTGAGTATCTTTACTTTGACATTTGCCTCAATGACATTGATAATATACTTAATATACTTAAATGTTCAAATAAGTCTTCTTAGTATTCTACTTACCCTGCGAATTCAAATCCAAGGTCTTTGAAACTATTCCTCTCTTGGACTGTCAGTGGATGACCGAACATTTTATATGAATCTAAAACTTTAATTCCTATCCTACTATACTCTTCTTGATTCATATCATCCTGCTGTCTCCTGTTGCCGTAAGCGTGATAGTAACTGAAAAGAAATAAAATTCTTCTATACATAGTTTTTTTTGAAAAACGTTGCCCCACACTAGAATTTTCTCCTGTGTCGTGGGTGCGTTTACAGACATACAAGTTCACATACACATGACACCCAGACCCGGAACAACAATCTGTGGATCACACAAAGAGTTATTCCGTGCGGGAATCGAACCCGCAGCACGCTGCACGGCAGCCGGTTACCCAGCCACCGCACCAACTGTGCAGTCAACGTCAAAAATAAAAGCCTTCTATACATACATACATACAGATAAATAAAATTGGAGTCTGTTTGTAATATTAGACCCATTTACCCCCCCCCCTCCATCCCTAGTCTCTGCAATCCCCCAAATCCTCCTCAAATTCCCAAAAGGCCGGTAACGCACTTGTAAAGCCTCTGGTGTTCCAGGTGTCCATGGGCGGCGCGGATTGCTTACCATCAGGTGGTCCGACTGCTCGTTTGCCTCCTATTCCATAAAAAATAAGTTACTAACAGCATAGGACTGGATGATGTTGATGAGCCATCGTCGACACGGGCCACACCTATGATGTCATTGACCCTCTGTGCCATCTTGGTATGAAAGTAGTGTAGCACCTGGAGACTCATCTCTGACACGTATGTGCGAAGGTCTCTCATCTGCGGAGGGAGATTCAATGTCATACATACATACGCCACGCCTTTTATCCCCGAATGGGTAGGCAGAGGTGCACATTATGCCACTGCACAATGTAACACCCACTTTTCACTATTTATGTTATGAGTCCCATGTAATAGGGGGTGAGCCTATTGCCATATACCGGGCACAATTCCAGACTCCGTGCTACTACTGAGAATTTTTTGAAAACCCAGTAATACTTTGCCCAACTCAGGAATCGAACCCGAGACCCCTTGCCCGGCAGTCGCAATTGCGACCTCTCGGCCAACGAGGCAGAGCAGATTTAATGTCAACATTATTAATTTTAATTTTTTTTCAGCCATGATCGTCCCACTGCAGGGACTGCACTCTCTACCCTCTTTTCACTCCTCTCTATGTAAAGCTTTTTGCGGCCAATCCTTGTCATAGATGTCTATGTCGTCCCGCCATCTCCTTTTGGGCCTGCGGACGGCGATCGTGGGTAGCTCGCCGCCCGACAAGAACCAGACCCGAGCGTGCGGCGCGTCGCGTTTCGCGCGAGCCTCAAAGAGCCATCAGACCACCACGGATAGGGCCCAATAGGGCTGATGCCGATACGGATTCTCACCCAGGTGAGAGAAGACGATAGATGATGTTCCCCTGTTAAAAAAATCTCCTTTCGGGCCCGCCGCGACGACTATTGACGTTGAGTGGGCTCCACTGATTAGTAAGTTTTGCCCACCGCTCGTCTGACATCTGTATTTTAATTAGAAACTATTAAAAAATCGTTAAGAAAATAATCATTAACCAGGCGGGATTTTTTTTTAAGGGGCGAACATCATCGAATGACTGCTCCCGCCTGGGTGAGGAGGGAGGGAGTATCAGACTCTTACTGACTAAAAACCACCCCGTTCCTTCTCCTGCACGTCGAGCCGGAGTCCCGGTTACCCGTTAGGTTCTCCGCGACAACCAGGCGGGATAGTGGTCAAACGTCGTCCCATCAAATTAAAAAAAAAATGAAATTACACATTGGACAAATAAATCACTATTAAACATGGCGCCCACCTTATCATTCAGGATCTTCAAATAATCGGGTGTCTTCCTAAATCTCCTCAGTACAGTTCTAAAATCTTCACCATATAACTTGAATGCTTCAGTTTCCACATCATATTTGCGTCCATTGGCCATTAAACATGGGCTAACTAAAAAAAAAACAATAAGACTTGACAAGTCAGCTCCATGTAATAGGGGGTGAGCCTATTGCCATATACCGGGCACAACTCCAGACTCCGTGCTACTACTGAGTATTTTAAAAACTCAGTAGTACTTTGCCCGACCCGGGAATTGAACCGAGACCCCTTGCCCGGCAGTCACACTTGCGACCACTCGGCCAACAAGGCAGTCAAGCCAGCAGTAATCCTTACTATTATAAATGGGAAAGTGAGTTTGTTTGTTTGTTCCGCTTTCACGCCGTAACTTCTGAACCGATTGGTTTGAATTTTTGCAGACGTAAAATTAGAAGTCCGGATTAAATAATAGGGTACTTTTTATCCCGGAAAATTTTGGTATTCCCGAGGGAAAACAAAAGAATTGGTATAGATGGCGCTGTGTGTATTATTGGTATAGGCTACTTTTATCCTTTTGTGACGCGAGCGAAGCCGCGAGTAAAAGCTAGTAATTAATAATAATAATAATAATAAATACATTTCAATAGACCGGATATTACAGTTCATGACAAAATTACCAAAACAGTATATTTGATAGATATTGCCATCCCAAACTCACACAATATACAATCTACTATTTCTGAAAAATTAAGTAAGTATCAAGATCTCGCCATAAAAATCAAAACGCAGTGGAGAGCACAAACAGTTCACATTGTCCCCATCGTCCTCTCAACCACCGGTATCGTACCTAAGTCCCTCACACAAAGCCTCAACACTCTCCACATGCCTACCTACACTCTCCACACACTCCAAAAAGCGACCATCCTCAATACTTGCCGCATCACTAGAAAATTCCTCACATCATCTACTCTATCATTCACCTTTTCTATATAAACTTCCCCTTATACACTTGGCTACGGCCCGTATATAAGGTTCTTAAACTCTCTTAAACGAGAAGAAAATTAAAATATCTTTAAAATAATAATAATAATATTCTTTATTGTACACCACATAAACATAAAGGACAACAAACAATTGATATAGTGCACAATGGGCGGTCTTATCGCACAAGGCGATCTCTACCAGACAACCTTTGGATGGAGCTGTAATAGGAGTCAGAAATGGGTCGTCTAGTGTACAATTTAATGACTTTAAAATAATAATAATAATACCGTGTAAACCATAATATGTATATAAAATATATATATATATATATATATATAAATAAATAAATATAAAAGCTAGTAATTAATACTTAAACAAAATACTTACTATACGAAAATAACACTAGAAAAATAACGAATATCCTGTCACACATTTCTATCGGATCACGAATTTTATAACTTCTAATTCAATTATAATAAACTTCTGTAATAAAAACAAGATTACCATTGTGTAATATTATTTTAAACGTTTCCAGTGTGTTGTTCATATTATACTATCTTTTACCCGCGGCTTCGCTCGCGTCACAAAAGGATAAAAAGTAGCCTATGTGACATATATACCAATACACACAGCGCCATCTATACCATTACTTTTATTTTCCCTCGGGAATATTAATTTTTTCGGGATAAAAAGTACCCTATTATTAAATCCGGACTTCTAACTTTACGTCTGCAAAAATTCAAAGCAATCGGTTTAGTAGTTACGGCGTGAAAGTGGAACAAACAAACAAACTCACTTTCCGATTTATAATATTATTAAGTAAGGAAGTAAGGATTTTATAGCAAGTTTCATTGTTATGACTTCTGACCTGGTATGGCCAGAAAGAAAGCCGTCGTGTGTGTGAGAGAGCCATGCTTCGGCACGAATAGGCCGGCTCGACCGGAGTGAAACCACGGCCGAGCAGAAGACCGACGTGAAACAACGTGCGCGTTGTATTTCATCGTGTGAGTGAGGTTACCGGAGGCCCAATTTCCCCTTCCCCAATCCCTGAATCCCTAACAATCCTCCTCAATCCTAATCCCAAAAGACCGGTAACGCACTTGCAACGCCTCTGGTGTTCCAGGTGATGGGCGACGCCGATTGCTTACCATCAGGTGATCCGTCTGCTCGTTTACCATATAGCGTATATCATAAATATTGTGGTGGCCAGGAAGCTTAAGACGCCCACTTCTAATGCATGAGGGTGCGGGTTCGAAACCTACCAACGGCAAGTACCAATGTGCCTTTTTCCGAGTTATATGTCCTTTCTAAGATTATTCAGACACCACTGACATACGGTGAAGAAAAACATCGTGAGGAAACCTAGGCATATAAATTTCTAATTATTTGGCAAGTGTGGTGATTAAACTGTCAAACACCAAGCGGTCACCGGTGACCGCGACCTATTGTTCTTTGTGTCTATAAAACCGGTACTCGACGAGTTAATGATCAAACCTTCTCCGTGTAAGAAGAGGCTTTGCTCAGCAGTGGGCATTTATAGGCTGTTGATGGTATATCATATATAAAAGGTAGGCTACCGGAGGCCCAATTACTCTCCCCAATCTTCCCAATACCCGGAACTCCAACAATCCTCAAATTCATTCCTCAAAACGGCACGGTAACGCCAGTGTAGCCTCTGATCCGCCAAATTTTGACCCGGCAAACTTCGATCCGCCAAAAAAATTTTTTTCTCACCTTATCTTCCCAGGACTTCCACGAACAGTTCAAGACCAAAATTAGCCAAATCGGTTCAAATGTTCTCGAGTTTTAGCGAGACTAACGAACAGAAATTCATTTCTATTTATATAGATATAATAATATGGTGAATTGGTGACACTCCATCTAGACATTATACAGACCCGAGCGTACGGCGCGTCGCGTTCCGCGGGCGCCTCAAAGAGCCATCAGACCACCACGGATGGGGCCCAACAGGGCCGATGCCGATTCGGAGTCGCGGAAAACCTCACGGGTAACCGGGGCTCCAGCTCGACGTGCAGGAGAAGGAACGGGGTGGTTTTTAGTCAGTAAGAGTCTGACACTCCCTCCCGCCTGACCCAGGCGGGAGCAGTCATTCGATGATTTTCCCCCATTTAAAAAAGGGGGGTTGGCGATTGTGGAAGTAGTACAAAAATAAAACAACAATACTAAAAATTGATTTATTTATCAGCATAAATACGTTTTTTGCCGGCAAAAGGGATAGGCGTGCGCCCAAAAGCTGAATGGTTAGGTTGATTGTTTTTCGATCTTTCATAGCTGCCGCGTTTCTTCTTTTTTATCGGCTTATAATTATCATCATCGTCATTATTTTTTGGGACATAATCGTCCCACGAACTTGGAGTTTTTTGTTTAACTGGTTCCGGGTCGATATTAAAGTCTTTTTCAATTGGTTTAAAAACTTCAACGGGGCCTTGTTTTAATACCTTTTTCTTTTTATGTCCCCCGCCTTTTGGTTTCTTCTGTTTAGTCCCTACTGTGTCCCAACTGTTCTTTGGTTCATCCGTTACCTTTTTTTTATTGTCAACGCTGTATTCTTTCCAGTCATCTTTTATTTCCATATTGTGTTTTTTCTTGACCTTTTTATCGTCTTTTTTCCAATCTGCATCATCGTCCCAATTATCCTTTCTCTTAGTTTTATCATTTCTATCCCAATAGTTAGTGTTATCGATATCATGTCTCTTATCATGACCATTATTATTTCTGTCTGTATCATGTCTATTATAATTTTGGTTATTATTATTATCTGCATTATATTTGTTTGTATTCCAATCGTCCTTTTCAGTGTTCCAATTAGTTTTTTTTGTATTCCAGTCATCTGGTTTTGTGTTCCAGCTTTGTTTTTCATTCCAGGCGTCTTTTCTAGTGTTCCAATCTGTCTGTTTTTCAATTAAATCTTCTTTTTTTGTATTCCAATCTTGGTTTATGTTCCAGTCGTCTCTTTTATTGTCGCCATCATAGTTTTTTGTATCCCAGTCGATATTTTTCTCATTTCTTTCATTTTTTTTACCATAATTATCGTTGTTAGTTTCCCAATCGTTATTATTAGTTGCCCAATCATTTTTGTTGTTGTTGTTATTCTTCCAGTCATTATTGTTTGAACCCCAATCGTTATTTTTATTCATATTCGATTCTTTATTATCCCAATCGTTATGTTTTCTATCTCTATCATTGCGTTTAGTATTCCAATCGTCATATCGACCTTGATCATAATTTTTGTGGTCTCTGTCATCATACCTTTGTTTATCATCAGGTCTGTCGTAGTCATTATGATTTTGCTCCAGGTTTCTCTGATTCCTATCATCATGATGATCTTTCATAACATTATCTCTATCTTTCATATTTCTATCATCATCTTTAGTCCATTCAATTTTCTTTTGGTTCTCATTGTCGTACTTTTGACTATCGTTATCTTTATTCCAATTATTCTCATTGTTAAGACGAGGTTTGTTGTTTTTATTAAAATTGTCGTCGTTTTCGTTAAGATTTCTTTTTTGGTCATCGTTGTTTTGGTCTTTAATCTTTTCGTTACCTTCGTATTTATATTCATTCTCTTTGCCTTTTAAATCCCATTCGTTAGTTTGAGGTTTTCGTTCTTTAGATTCCTTCGGTTCAGTTTTTTCATCATTTCGCTGATTTTTATTTAAATCTTTATGTTTGTGTGGGTCGATTGTCTCATTTTTATCTACATCCTTATGTTTGTCAGTTCTGTGTGGGTCAATTGTTACATCTTGTGCACCATTATTCTTCTGTTCATTGTTTACTTCCACAGATTTTAGTCTTTGTTCTTCTCTAAATCTTTTTTGTTGACCATATCCTTTTAAGTAGTTATTTAATTCAGTTTCTTTAATTTCTTCTACTCGATAGCTTAAATCAGTTTTAGTCTCATTTTCTTCTTTTTTTGGTGAGATTTCATCTGGTCTATGGTTCTGGTATGTCCCTCTATCATAATCTCCATCATCTGTTTTAGGTTCAAGAGGTTTCTTCTTCTGATAGTCATTTCTTACCTCTTCTGCTTTGATATATTTTCCCTTTACGACATTTTGGTTTTTATTGTAATCTGTTGTTGGTGCACTTTCAGTTGTTATCTCAATTTCAGAACTTTTGACATTGTCTAATGTTTCTCCGAAAATGGACTTCGGTTTACCGTTTTCCTTTTCGTTGATGTTAAAGTCTAAATCGGGTTCGAACTTTGGTCCGTTTTCGTCAACCGGTTGGAATATTACATCTTTTTCTTCAAAGTTTTTTAGAACCAGCTGTCCGAATTCATCTTCTTTCTTACCTATGTTGAATTCTTTGGAATTGGCTTCTGGATCAGCTGTGGATATTGTTTTTTGAAATTAATTTAACGTTTTTATTATTTTTATAATAATTATCATAAGACATACTAAATTAACTAAAAATTGTAACAAAAAATAAATAAATAAAGTATGCTGCGTGACATCGCCGCGACCACGCACGCTGCTCTTGACGAAATACCCCTCTGTGGTTCGAAACTAGTAGAGCTTTTCTCAGTATATTCACGTGAGTAACCCGCGATTTTTAGTTAGTTTTTATTATTTTTCTCAGTACCTGGATGCTGAAATAATGTAACATAACATCACGCCTTTTATCCCCGAAGGGGTAGGCAGAGTTGTACATTATGCCACTGTGCAATGTAATACCCACTTTTCACTATTTATGTTATGAGTCCCATGTAATAGGGGGTGAGCCTATTGCCATATACCGAGCACAGTTCCAGACTCCGTGCTACTACTGAGAATTAAAAACCCAGTAATACTTTGCTCGACCCGGGAATCGAACCCGAGACCCCTTGCTGGGCAGTCGCACTTGCGACCACTCGGCCAACGAGGCAGTCATCTATTTTTTATGTTAAGGTATATTAAACTGTCAAACACCAAGCGGTCACCGGTGACCGCAACCTATTGTTCTTTAATTGTGTCTATAAATACGATACTCGACGAGTTAATATAGTTTTTAATAACTCACGTAAAAATTCCATGTCGTATCGTCTCTTCAAGCTCTTCCGCCCTAGACCCTTGTATCTAGGTTCTACTGAAGAAGTCTCCGAGTCAGACACAGGATCTGAGGATGCTGCAGACTCGTATGACGGTCTCCTGAAAAAAAAAACGACAAAACCATCAGGTCAATCGACCAGCTCGATCGAGAGCTTGAGCTCTTGGTGTTTGATTCTCTGTTCGGGCAAAGTTTTTTTTAAACAAAATCAAATAAAATTTTTGTTGTACCTAATTCTTTCCTACACTAAATCGGGAATTTTAACCCCGAAGGTGCACATTACGGCACTTAATATCACTGTACAATGTAACACCCACTTTTCATTATTTATGTTATGAGTCCCATGTAATAGGGGGTGAGCCTATTGCCATATACTGGGCACAATTCCAAACGCCGTGTTACTACAGAAATTTTTTTAAAAACACAGAAACACTTTGCCCGACTCGGAAATCGAACCCGAGATCCCTTGTCCGGCAGTCGCACTTGCGACCACTGGGCGAACGAGGCAGTCTTTTTCTTTTTTAAACCTAAACGTTGCCCCACACTAGGATATTCTCCTGTGTTGTGTGTGTGTGTGTACATTTACAAACATAGAATTGGGATGTTGACAGGATATGAAAATTAAAAATATAATTAGGCCGTAAGTTAGATAATGGAAAAATATTAGACACGTATTTTTTTATTTTGTCGTATAGCAAAACAATACTTAGATAAAAGGAATCAAAGTTTAGGAGTGGGCGCTTAAACGTCATGTCTACGTATAAAATGTATGTAGAAGTGACGTCACGCGACATTTCAAATCAATATATCGTCGAAAGTATTCGTTTCTGAAGAAAATAAAAAATACGTGTCTAATGATTTAAAATAATCTTCCAGACGGACATTAAAATAAAAATTAGACATCTATCCTATTTCACACCCATGACTCCCAGACCCGGAACAACAATTTAGTACACAAAAAGTTGTTCTGTGCGGGAATCGAACCCGCTACACGAGTTTCGGCAGCAAACATAACTCTTCGCTCCTATCTAAGAATAAGATCCGTTTGTTTATTACGGTGTTTTTATGGGATAAGCCGGTAAACGAGCAGACGGATCACCTGATGGTAAGCAATCGGCGTCGCCCATGGACACCTGGAACACCAGACGCGTTACAAGTGCAAGTGGGTTACTCATGCATGAAAACCAAGTTCGAAACCTACCAACGGCAACTACCAATGTAACATTTTCCGAGTTATATGTACTTTCTAAGATTATTCAGACACCACTGACAAACGGTGAAGGAAAACATCATGAGGAAACCTGGGCTTATTAGAGTTAATGATATGTTTATCAAAGAATTATCTATCATTACCTTATTTCAATGGAAATGATAAATAATTATTTTAATTAAATGTTTCAATGTATTACTGAGATATTGCAAAATCGTAAAAAAATACAATCTTTTCCCTGACACGGGTAAAGAGCCAAACATAATTAATGTGAGGGTCTATATAATTGACTGTTTTTGATTATTGTATTTTATGGATTGGCGGCTGAATGTTGTTGTTATTTTTTTGTTGGTTTTATTTTCATTTTTGACAAATAATGTACCTCTTTTTCAAGTAGCAAGTCTATTTGACATGTACCTTTAATGTCATTTTTTTAAATGTTTCTTTTATGCAACAATAGTTGTAATCGACTGCTCAAGGCTGATGTTGTGTGAATAAGACGAAAACAGAAAACAATTGAAATTGTAAAAGTGTGGGGGAGTCATGCTTCGGCACGAATGGGCTGGCTCGACCGGAGTGACACCACAGTCTCACAGAAAACCGACGTGAAACAACGTTGCGTTGTGTTGCGTCGTTTGAGTGAGATTACCTGAAACCCATTTACCCCTTACCTTCCTCAATCTCTAAATCCCCAATAATCCTCAAATTCCTAATCCCCAAACGGCATTTGCCCTGAGCCTTTTACGCATTTGCAACGCCTCCAGTGTTCCAGGTATCCATGGGCGATGCCGATTGCTTACCATCAGGTGATCCGTCTGCACGTTTACCGACTTATCCCATTAAAAAGCTATGTTTTTACAGTATTCCATTTACATTCTAATTTATAGTTAGTAGAAATATAAGGAAAACAACAATACCTAATATCCTTCTTCCTCTTTATCTTCTTCTTGCCGAACTCGTCCAGTACCTCTGGATTATCAATGACATAGTACCGCGCCATGTTTGCCAGCTTCTGGGTATATTCTCTCGACGTCTGCTCCTCTTTCGACAATAGAACTTTGTATAGATTCGCTATCCAAGGTTTAATTTCTTCTACGTGGGTCAATTCTGTTCTACGTTTGTCATCTAAATGAATAATTTTAATCTTTAGTAGGTATACAAGCAGATCAACTGAATGAAATGAGATGAAATGAAATGAAATGAGATGAAATGAGATAAAATGAGATGAAATGAGATGAAATGAGATGAAATGAGATGAAATGAGATGAAATGAGATGAAATGAGATGAAATGAGATGAAATGAGATGAAATGAGATGAAATGAGATGAAATGAGATGAAATGAGATGAAATGAGATGAAATGAGATGAAATGAGATGAAATGAGATGAAATGAAATGAAGTGAAGTGAAGTGAAATGAAATGAAATGAGATGAAATGAAATGAAATGAAATGAAGTGAAGTGAAATGAAATGAGATGAGTTTTATTCGGCATACGGCATGAATGCAAGGAACAAAAAATAGCAATACTGATGGTAAGTAATTGACGCCGCCCATGGATAATTGGAACACCAGAAACTAGGTTGCCAGGGGCTCTGAGGCCCAATCCCCGACCATAAAGGTCGACAATGAGTTTGTACCTGCCCTGGTGCTACTAGTGTTCATGGACGACGCTGATTGCTTACCATCAGACGATACGTTTAGTCGTTTGCCTCCCAACTTTATAAAAAAACGATAAATATTGTTTTATTGGATCAGCCAGTAAAAAAGAAGACGGATCACCTGATGGTAAGCAATTGACGTCGCCCATGGACAACCGAAATACTAAAGGCGTTACAAGTACGTCACCGGCTTTTTGAGGATTGTTGGGGACTTGAGGACTTGAGGATTGGGGACATGGGGGTATTGTACCTCCAGTAACTTCACTCATAAGATGAAATAATATAATATTATATTGTACGTACATCCTAGAAAACTGACGCGTTTCTTTAACGTGTTCACGAAATTAATCATCTGGGCGACTTTAGCCACCTGACTCTCTTCTGGAGGCCGCATGGGAGTAGTTGGACGTAATGACAATACATCACTGTGTAATATCCCTGAAACATAAAAAATAAACATAACATCACTCCTTTTATCCCCGAAGGGGTAGGCAGAGGTGTACATTATACCACTATACAATGTAACACACACTTTTCACTATGTATGTTATGAGTTCCATGTAATGGGGGTGAGCCTATTGTCATATACCGGGCACAATTCCAGACTCCGTGCTACTACTGAGATTATTTTTAAAACCCAGTTTTACTATTATTATTATATTACAGTTATTATTTAAAATTACTCCCAAAACTCACCAATGTACCAGAATAAAATACAAAACTTCATTTCAAAATTGTGCCAACATTATTTTGTAAGACATTTTACATGATTTCATTAACATTGTTATTCTTTGCCGGCCCCTTATCTCGCGTAGAAAAGATTAAAATCACAGCATTACAAAAACTGTGATATTTTTTCTATTTACTGTATTTGTTTTAAGATGACGGCAGTTCAGTACATTTGACATCGCCCTGACTATTCCCGCGGATGTCGTGAGAGCTGACTGAGGGTCTACCTCAGCTACTCTATTCTTCTATCTTATTCTATCTTTTATAATGTGTATTTTTTAATTTTGTTTTGATTTTAGTTTTCTTTTAATGTTATATAAAGTACTTAATTAGCTAATAAGAATAAGAAATGAGCGCTTCTCGCCGTTAAACGATATGTTTGGCGAGGACCTTTAATTATAAGAACAAAATGTTAATCCTAAAATTGTACTTTTGTTAAATAAATAAATAAAATACTTATAGCTATTTTTCGCTAGCGCAGCTGTTTATGTTGACGGGGGGAAACCTTCCAAAGGCGCCTAGGTTTTTGGGGAAAAAGACTACGGAGTGTGGGATTTTTACCTCACTAAAACCTCCCCGGTGGCCACCATCCCCACTTGAAGGATGCACCGGGTCCTCTTAGTAGACCAACTCCGGAGCCCCCACAGTGCAACGCCTGTTACGGCATCTCTCTATGAAGACCTATGTGTCTCTCCTAGAGCCTCTCTGTTGATTGATTCACCATGGTGCCAATGTTCGACAGAGGAGTTGCAATACTAGCAGTCGGCACATCACATACTCTGGGAGTGCGATCTCTGGCAATATGAACGTAACATTATGTTAAATAATTTAATTGTTTCGTCAGGTGTAGCTTATTATACGGACCTTGTGGAATCTAGAACGAATTTCCGTGCGTTTAGGCGTTTTTGCCATACCTATTATTAGAAGCAAGTATAACAGCTTACACATAGGACCCACTTAGTTTTTAGTCAAATTTCCGAGGTACTTGGCGACTGGGCTTCACCCAGTTGTATAGTCTCTTCTTTGTGCCTTTAGGCTTAATTCATTCTGTCTCCTGCAGTAATTCACCGAGGGAAGTGGAAACCATAGTTTTTTCTTCTTCTCCTCTTATAATATCTTCTGATTCACTTCGTTGCGGGAACCAAGACAGTTACTCATGTCCCTGGGACGCGCCGGACATCAGTGTTCCGGTATTTTCATGGTTGTATCTACTGTAGATCCTGGCTTGCAGGAGTTGCAGCGGTTTTGGGAGGTTGTGGCGGTCTTGTCCCATAAAAAAGAGCCTCTCTGTGCATTGCACGGCGGCACGTGACCACTGTGCCGCCGTCATCCTTGAGGTCATTAGGTGGGCGCCTAGATTCCCCACTCTATGCGCCCATGACCCCAATCGCCATCAACCCTAATGACAGCATTTCCATTCCCATCATATAGATAGTTGGCAGGCCATAACTGTACGCTATTCCCGGAACTTTCTAATTTGCACAGTCAAACTGTGGAAAGAGTTTCTTTTTGGGATAAGCCGGTAAACTAGCAAACGGACCATCTGATGGTAAGCAATCGGCGTCGCCCATGGACACCCGAAATAACAGATATGTTACAAGTGTATTACCGGCCTTTTGGTAATTGGGAATTTGGGGATTGTGGAGGATGATTTGGGGGATTGGGGAGAATGGGGAGGGAGATATTGAGGCCTCCGGTAACCTCACTCACACGAAGAAACACAATGCAAGGGTTGTCACGTCGGTTTTCTGTGAGGCCGTGACATCGCTCCGGTCGAGTCGGCCCATTTGTGCCGAAGTATGGCTCTCCCACACTTACTATCCGTCGACTATCGTCGGCAGTATTTCCAAACAGCTACGCTACTGTATTTAATAGGTACTGATTGTAGTCAGCCGATATATGCACACGGCATCGGGTTGACGATTTCAAACTTATTTGATTATAAGCCCAGGTTTCCTCACGACTGCCTCGTTAGCCGAGTGGTCGCAAGTGCGACTGCCGGGCAAGGCATCACGGGTTCGATTTACAGGTCGGGCAAATTATTGCTGGGTTTTTAAAAAATTCTCAGTAATAGCACGGAGCCTGGAATTGTGCCCGGCATATGGCAATAGGCTCACCCCCTATTACAAGGGACTGATAACATAAATAGTGAAAAGTGGGTGTTACATTGTACAGTGGCATTATGTGCACCTCCACCTCTGCCTACCCCTTCGGGGTTAAAGGCGTGATGTTATGTTATGTTTCCTCACGATGTTTTCCTTCACCGTTTGTCAGTGGTGTCTAAATAATCTTAGAAAGTACATATAACTCGGAAAACGTCACATTGGTACTTTGCCAAGATTCGGCGCAACGCCCTCATGCATGAGATGCGGGCGTCTAAAGCCTATGGGCAAGTACGAAAAACACTGAATAACACTTTGCCCTACTTGGGAATCTCCCAAAACATTACATAAAGCTGATACAAGGCAATGATATTTAATACAAAGGGATACCTACGCAGTAGACAGCTAACAAATCAAACTATACATAACCAGTATATCGTGGTCTTGCTTTATATGAGCATCCCACATAATTGACGATCAGCTTATACCGGTTAACATACACTAGCTAAAGTACCAATTTATCATGATCTTGCTTAATACAATCTTTCCATACATCCGACGGTCAGCGTATACTGGTTTATACGGATTGATGAACGAGCTGTACCACCCAGTTTATCATGATCTCTCTCAATACAATCTTTCTATACATTCGAAGGTCAGTTTATACTGGTTATTCATACCTTGATATGCGGCCGAATGTACCTACATTATTAGGTTGTTTTTGCGTCAAAAACATATTAATGTGACGTAATAGAAATATGTACAGGTGTTTATCACAATCATAATTATAATGTAATAGTTTTATCAATTACCTGATTAAATCAATACGAACATAAGAGACCTGTGTATCTAATTTTTGTATAAGCTAATCTTACTAATATTATAAATACGTAAATTGTGTTTGTCTGTTTTTTTATGGAATAGGAGGCAAACGAGCAGACGGATCACCTGATGGTAAGCGATCAGCGCTGCCCATGGACACCCGCAACACCAGAGGAGTCACAGGTGCGTTGCTGGACTTTTAAAAAGGAATACGCTTCGTTCTTGAAGGTTTGAAGGTCGTATCACATCACACATCAACAGCCTATAAATGCCCACTGCTGAGCAAAGCCTCTTCTCACACGGAGAAGGTTTGAGCATTAATGACCACGCTTGCTCAATGCGGGTTGGCGATTACAAACTTATAATTAGAAATTATAAGCCCAGGTTTCCTCACGATGTTTTCCTTCACCGTCTGTCAGTGGTGTCTGAATAATCTTAGAAAGTACATATAACTCGGAAAAAGTCACATTGGTACTTGCTTGAAGGTCGTATCGGCTAACTACAATCAGTAACTGTTAAATACAGTCTTTTCTCATCATACCGAAGTCTTCTATTATTCAAGACCATCACCAACACACCTGGAGCTTGATATTCAAACAACAGTCCACTGAGGAGTCACAGGTGCATTGCCGGCCTTTTAAAAATGAACACGCTCTTTTCTTGAAGGTTTGAAGGTCGTATCGGTTCGGAAATACCGCCGACGACAGATCAGACTCCCTATGAAGGGGTGAGCCTATTGCTATATACCGGGCACAATTCCAGACTCCGTGCTACTACTGAGAATTTTCAAAAACTTGCGACCACTCGGCTAACGAGGCAGTATTTAAAAACAATTAAAAAAGACTGCTAACCAAAAACCTCTTCTCACACGGAGAAATCTTGAACATTAATCACCACTCTTGCTCAATGCCGATATAATAATGACAATAATACAATTTTTTAATTAGTACCAGACGAAGTCGCGATCAAAAACTATATCACACGAAATCTGTAGATAAGTCAATTAAAAATTATCTATAAATAGGACAATTTGACGTTATTTGATGTTTTTAATTAATAGTCCTAATTAGGAAATAGTTGTTTTACAGACATGAAGAGTATAGTTTTGTTATTTTGTGTATTCGCTTTTGCAGCGGGTAAGTAATACACTTCTTTTATGGGATCAGATCGGATCACCTGATGGTAAGCAATCAGCGTCAGGGATGTGATCGGCGACGGTGACCTCTCGCGTCCAGCTCTAATCCAGGTTATGATGCGGAGCGAGGTGGACCAGGATGCCGTCTACTCCTTTTGCGAAGCAGTCATGCTAGCTAAGGAGGAGCTCCTTCCTCACAACCCAGCTGTCCCGAAGGATACTCCAGGCGTCGGGGATCGCGGGACAATCTCCTGCCACCGTAAAGCCATCAGACCACCACGGATGGGGCTCATTAGGGCTGATGCCGACACGGAGTCGCGTAGAACTTAACGGGTTGCCGGGGCTCCGGCTCGAAGGGCAGGAGTAGGAACGGGGTGGTTTTTAGTCAGTAAGAGTCTGGCACTCCCTCCCGCCTCAATCAAGCGGGAGAAAGCATTCGATGATTTTCCCTTTTTAAAAAAAAATAAAGCAATCAGCGTCACCAACGTTACGTTGCGTTGCGGGTATCTAACCCGCAACGCAACGTAACGTAATGAATGAAGTTTCTTGCTCGTCTTTGTCTATTCTATTCTATTCTGATGGTAAGCAATCCGGGCCGCTTCCCGCAACACTAGAGTACTCATTGCGTTTCTGGTCTATCTTGACTCTTGATGGAGTCCGTGTTTCCTGAAGGGTATAACCTGGGTTTCTGACGTGATCCATTGTAGGCCGCATCATTGTCTACCACCAGGCAAAATAGTGGTCTAACGACAACTCATTTACAATATGAAAAAACCCTCGTTTTTTAATAAAAAATAGTGTTTTAACGGGGCTTAAAAGTAGATACATCCATTTCCGAAAGTGATTAGAAAAAATATGTTTCTTATCATTTTTTGTTCTAGCACTCCCCTACGACCCGGTGCTGAGAAAATTAGATGAAGGACCAAGATACCAGCACGTGGAAGGACCAGATGGAACTCTCCACCTGGAGGACCTGTGGGTTAAAGCCAGTAACCTGGCTGAAGCAGCCAGATACAATCCAGATCGCCAGAATATCTATCATTTGTATACTAGGTATGTTTAATTTATATTAAAGACTAGCTGACCCGGCGCCTTTTCGTTATTTTAAGTTTTTATTATGTATTCTGCTAATCTGGGCGGGGACAAATCCGACGAACCTAAAACCATGAAATTTGGTCTAGCCGATCTCGAGTTATAAGTGTTGGAACAAACCTGTCTTTCTTTTACATATATAGATGTGTATTGGTAGGTTTTTAGAGGATAATCCGGTAACGAGCAAACGGATAATCTGATGATAAGCAATCAGCGTCGCTCATGGACACCCGTAACACTTTATTTAAGGGGGAAAGTCGTCGAATGACTTCGCCGTCTAGGTGACGCGGGAGTATCAGTCCCTTACTGACTAAAAACTACTCTGTTCCTACTCCTGTACTTCGAACCTTAGCCCCGCCAACCCGTTAAGTCCTCCGCGGCTCCGTATCGCCATCAGCTCTATTGAGCTGTCTCTCGCCAAATTGAGGACTGACACTGTCTTTCACCTCACTGAGAGCCAGAGAAGTCATTAGATGATTTTCTTCCTTAAAAAAAATCTCTTCACCCACCACTTTATTGGTAAGTAAAGTCCTAAACTTCACCTCGTCGCCTCGTTGTGTTAAATATCGTGGTGATCCGGAGGTTTGAGATGCCCGCTTCTCATGCATGAGAGTGGGTTCGAAACCAACCAAACGGCAAGTACCAATGTGACTTTTTCCGAGTTATATGTACTTTCTAAGATCTAGACACCACTGACAAACGGTGAAGGAAAAACATCGTGAGGAAACCTGGGCTTATAATTTCTAATTATAAGTTTAAAATCGCCAACCCGCATTGAGCAAGCGTGGTAATTAATGCTCAAACCTTCTCCGTGTGAGAAGAGGCATTGCTCAGCAGTGGGCATTTATAGGTGGTTGATGATGATGATGATGAAACTTTACCCCACAGGCAAAACCCAACAGTCAGTCAGCCAATGCTGATAGGTAACGAAGGTCTCCTGGGCCTGAACAACTACAACCCAGCTAGGAGGACCATCATACTCCTGCACGGCTGGAGAGCTGATGCTACTACTGACTTCAACAGAGTGCTGGTGCCTGGTGAGTTCATTTTCGGTGTCTGGTATTTTAATGGGGGTCGGTAGACGAGAAAAAAAGAATTTTTTTGGGGTAGACGTTTTGTTTTTGTCGTTTTTTTTATCGTAACATAACAGGGTTAGACATAGTACATCCTACTAATATTATAAACGTGAAACTTTGTATGTTTGTTTGTAACTCCTTCACGGCAAAAAGGGCAAGGGGTCTGCAGTGCGATTACCGGATTGGGCAAAGTATTACTGGGTTTTAAAAAAATCTTAGTACTAGCACTGAGTCTGGAATCGGCATATAGCAATAGGGTCACTTCCTATTACATGGGACTCATAACATAAATAGTGAAAAGTGGGTGTTACATTATACAGTGGCATTAAGTACCGTAATGTGAACCTGCCTACCCCTTCTATGATGTTATATATTAACACTTTGTTTAACACAGGAATCGAAGTCGAGACCTGTTGTTCAAAATGACACTTGCGATCAATTAATCAGTTTTTTTCTTCTGCTGACATCTTCTTTTCTTCTGCATAGCCTTCTTGTCTGCTGAGGATGTGAACGTGATCGTGGTGGACTGGAGTGCTGGTGCTGGCTCCATCAACTACGCCACAGCAGTCGCCAACACTGTGCCTTCAGGTAAGTTACTGGAGTTGATTTGAGGTTACCAGAAGTCCAGTCCCCTCCCCCTCTCCCAATCTCCCCTGTACAAGCTATTTTCATTAATTAACTGCCGAGTGTGTTATTGCCAAATTGACCTATGTAGGTACATTTTTGCAAGCGCATGTTGGACAGTGCATTAAAGGCATTCAACCTGTATTGATGTGTACTTTATTTGACAAACTCTCTCTAATTAATCTTCCCGTGACATTCTATTAATATACCTCTTGTGTCGTGGTGGCCCGGAGGTTTAAGACGCCCACTTCTCATGCATGAGGGTGCGGGTTCGAAACCTACCAACGGCAAGTACCAATGTGACTTTTTCCGAGTTATATGTACTTTCTAAGATTATTTAGACACCACTGACAAACGGTGAGGGAAAAACATCGTGAGGAAACCTGGACTTATAATTTCTAATTATAAGTTTGAAATCGCCAACCCGCATTGAGCAAGCGTGGTGATTAATGCTCTAACCTTCTCCGTGTGAGAAGAGGCTTTGCTCAGCAGTGGGCATTTATAGGCTGTTGATGATGATTGATGATGACCTCTTGTGTGAGCTACTACAGGCTCGCACCTTCCCTATCCCTGAAACCCCAACAATCCTCAAATTCCTAATCCCCACACGGCCGGTAACGCACTTGTGTTCCAGGTGTCCATGAGCGACGCCCATAGCTTACCATCAGGTGATCCGTCAGCTCGTTTACCGGCTTATCACATAAAAAGTTAACGGCACTATTAAACTGTCAAACACAGCGAGGACACCGGTGACCGCAACCTATTGTTCTTTAATTGTGTCTATAATGACGGTACTCAAAGGGTTAAATCAAATTACGTGTGTTCAGTAGTTTGTATGACTCAATGCCTTTCAAGATCTACATAGCATTTGTGCAATTTTGCGTATCAGATGCAGCAAATTTTTCTACCAGTCACTCAGTCTGGCAATAAACTCTGATCTGTCGTCGACGGTATTTCCGAACCGCATCCCCACAATCAGATGGGGCCCAACAGGGCTGATACGGAGCCGCGGAAGACTTAAAGGATTGCCGGGGCTCTGTGCCGAATAAATGTTTTTTCTTTCTTCACTTTTAATTTTTTTTGTTAAAGTTCAAAAGTGCCTTCTTGATCTAATTGAAATAAATGGTTTTGACTTTGCGATAGCAGGCAAACGTTGACCCATTACATGCGCCACCTGAGCAATAAATGCGTTAATAGTCTTGGTCCTCTAGTAAGTAGTAATCACTAATGATTCATCTTTGATTGCCTCGTTGGCCGAATGTGACTGCCGGGCAAGGGTTCTCGGGAGCGGAAGCAAAGTATTACTGGGATTTTTATAATTATCAGCAGTAGCACGGAATCTAGAAACCGGTATATGGCAATAGGCTCACCCCCTATTACATGGGACTCATAACATAAATAGTGAATAGTGGGTGTTATATTGTACAGTGGTATTTAGTATCGTAATTTGCACCTCTGCCTTCAAACTCAAACTCAAACTGAAAAGCATTTATTTCAATTAAACCATAATTTGGTACTTTTGAAACGTCAAAAAATATGAAATAAATAATAGTCTGTCAGTCTGTCCGTCAGTGAAGCTAGGCGCTCGTTCCAAAATGTCGATTCGAGTGGAGAAGAAAGAGGAAGAAACTCCATTCGTTACTCTTTTAAAAAAAAGTCTGTTTTACACTGCCCTGATACATATTCCAATACAAACACACATGTGAGAATAATGTAAAGACATACCTGACGCATCATACAAATAACAGAACGTACTAAAATAAAAAACAAAACCAAGAGAAAACAAATATCATAAATCTGACATGGTCCTCACATATGTATACTGACAATTCGGGAATAAAAGGCAAGGCATTTAAGTGTGGGAGAGCCATGCTTCGGCACGAATGGGCCGGCTCGACCGGAGTGATACCACGGCCTCACAGAAAACCGACGTGAAGCAACGCTTGCGTTGTGTTTCGTCGTGTGAGTGAGGTTACCGGAGGCCCAATTACCTTCCCCTTCCCCAATCCCTGAATCCCCAACGATCCTCAAACTCCTAATCCCCGCCTCCTAAAAAGCCGGTGACGCACTTGTAACGCCTCTGGTGTTCCAGGTGTCCATGGGCGACGCCGATTGCTTACCATCAGGTGATCCGTCTGCTCGATTACCGGATTATGCCATAAAAAAATGATTTTATGTTATGTTATAATTCTTTTTTACTTTTTCTAGGTGAAAGTGTAGCCCGCTTCATAGATTGGTTGAACACAGCGTCCGGTGCAATACCGAGTATGTACCACATTGTTGGACATAGTATCGGAGCTCACAAAGCTGGTATTGTCGGTAGAAACCTTGGAGGCAGGATCGGATATATCACTGGTAAGTCGCTTTCTTAGGTACTAACATTATAAACTGGCTGTTGCCAGTGCGAACTGCAGTAATTCACCGAGGGAAGTGGAAACTATAGTTTTTTCTTCTTCTCCTCTTATAATATCTTCTGATTCACTTCGTTGCGGGAACCAAGACAGTTATTCATGTCCCTGGGACGCGCTGGACTTCAATGTTCCGGTGCTTTCATGGTTGTATCTACTGTAGATCCTGATGCACAGGAGTTGCAGCGGTTTCGGAAGGCTGTGGCGGGCTTGTCCCAAAAAAAAAACTGTCTATTGCCCCCGACTTCGTCCGCGTAGAGTCTGATTTTTTTTATACCACAGGACACGGCCCACCTGATGGTAAGTGATTACCATGGCCTATAAACGCTTGCTACAAATGGTGCATTACATGCACCTTGCCGACCCTTGCTAAACCTATTTACTCCTTTCTTGAAGAACTCCATATTGTAGCCGGAAAAACCTTGGTACGGAGTTCATTCCACAATCGGAGGGTCCGTGGGAGGAAATTCCTCTGAAACCAAACTGTACTGACCATTTGGGCTCCAATGTGTGAGCATGAACTGAATGAATGATTCCTGTTTTATCCCATGGGAGCATTTAATCGGGATAAAAGTATCCTATCACCTAAGTCAACCAATACCCTGTCTGTATACCAAATTTCATTACAATCCTTACAGTAGGTTCAGCTTGATTGACGGACAAACACCCAAACATCCATATCTCTCCCACAGCTAAAAGCATCATCCATCATCTATCATCTATCATCTATCATCTATCATCTATCATCTATCATCTATCATCTATCATCTATCATCTATCATCTATCATCTATCATCTATCATCTATCATCTATCATCCAACATCCATCATCTATCATCTATCATCTATCATCTATCATCTATCATCTATCATCTATCATCTATCATCTATCATCTATCATCTATCATCTATCATCTATCATCTATCATCTATCATCTATCATCTATCATTAATCTATCATCTATCATATCTATCATCTATCATCTATCATCTATCATATCATCTATCATCTATCATCTATCATCTATCATCTATCATCTATCATCTATCATCTATCATCTATCATCTATCATCTATCATCTATCATCTATCATCTATCATCTATCATCTATCATCTATCATCTATCATCTATCATCTATCATCTATCATCTATCATCTATCATCTATCATCTATCATCTATCATCTATCATCTATCATCTATCATCTATCATCTATCATCCAACATCCATCATCCATCATCCATCATCCATCATCCATCATCAACATCCATCCCGTCGTTTCACGTCGGTTTCCTGTTAGGCCATGGTATCACTCCGGTCGAGTCGGCCTATTCATACAAGCATGACCCTCTTAAGTGTCGTAATATGCTTCTCCTTCGGGGATAAAAAGCCGGCTATGTTATGTAATATGAAGTTCTTCTCCCACAGCGTTAGAAGCCGCGTTCCCTGGCTGGATCACTCATGATGACAAATTCAGAAGTAATGACGGAGCTTACACAGAGGTTATACATACTAATGCCGGAGTCCTCGGCTATGTGACTCCTCTTGGTCACGTGGATTTCTACCCCAACGGAGGAATCAACATGCCTGGGTGTAATTCTCAAGAGTGTGATCACGCTAGGTGAGCGGTTTTTGTTATTTAAACTGTCAAACACCGCGAGGACACCAGTGACCGCAACCTATTGTTCTTTAATTGTGTCTATAATGACGGTACTCAAAGAGTTAAACTGTCAAACACCGCGAGGACACCGGTGACCGCAACCTATTGTTCTTTAATTGTGTCTATAATGACGGTACTCAAAGAGTTAAACTGTCAAACACCGCGAGGACACCGGTGACCACAACCTATTGTTCTTTAATTGTGTCTATAATGACGGTACTCAAAGGGTTAAACTGTCAAACACCGCGAGGACACCGGTGGCCGCAACCTATTGTTCTTTAATTGTGTCTATAATGACGGTACTCAATGGGTTAAACTGTCAAACATCACGAGGACACCGGTGACCGCAACCTATTGTTATTTAATTATGTCTATAATGACCGTACTCAAAGTGTATCTTTTTTTAAATTACTATGACTATGACTTTCTCCTGTGTCGTGGGTGCGTTTACAAACATACAAGTTCACATACACGTGACTCCGAGGACTTAACGGGTTGCCAGGTCGAGTTTTATGGAACGGGGTGGATTTTAGTCAGTAAGAGTCTGATACTCCCTCTCGCCTCACCCGGGCGAGGGATGTCATTGGATGATTTTTTCCCCCTCAAAAATAAAGACCCGGAGCGACAATTTATGGAACATACAATGAGTTGTTCCGTGCGGAAATCAAAGCCACGAGACGTGCAGCCGCCATCGCCATACTTCTGAAAATTTCTGAAATAACTATGGGAAATATTTCATAATATTAAAATTAGTAGGTTTTCTTTTTGTATGGTATTTTTTTTAAGGGGGCAAAATCATCGAAATACTGCTCCCGCCTGCGTGAGGCGGGAGGGAGTGTCAGACTCTTACTGACTAAAAACCACCCCGTTCCTTCTCCTGCACCGAGCCGGAGCCCCGGTTACCCGTTAGGTTCTCCGCGACTTTTTTATGGTATAAGCCGGTAAACGAGCAAACGGATCACCTGATGGTGAGCAATCGGCGTCGCCCATGACACCTGGAATACCAGAGGCGATGCAAGTGCGTTACCGGCCTTTTGGGATTAGGCCGTCTCGTTGGTGAAATATTCTTTTTTAATGGGGGCTACTGTGGTTTTTCTCACTAGATGGCGCTAGTGTAGTTAAGAATTTGAGAATTGTTGGAGATTCAGGGATTGGGGAAGGGTGGGGGGGGGGTAATTGGGTCCCCGGTAACCTCACTCACACAACGAAACACAACGCAAGCATTCTCTCACGTCGGTTTTGTATGAAGCCATGGTATTATTCCATTATAATACACTTTGTATTTAAAAATCTGCGATTGCCATGGGGTCTCGGGTTCGATTCCCGGGTCGGACAAAGTATTACTAAGTTTTAAAAAAAATCTCAGTAGTACCACGGAGTTTGGAATTGTGCCCGGTATATGCCAATAGGCTCACCCCCTATTACATGGGACTCATAACATAAATAGTGAAAAGTGAGTGTAACTTCTGTGTGCACTTCTGTCTACCCCTTTTGGGATAAAGGGCGTAATGTTATGTTATGTATCTAAACGTTTTCTTTGTTTCAGATCTTACTTCTACCTAGCCGAATCGCTGACCTCCGGTGGATTCACAGGAAGGCGGTGTGCCTCATACCTCACCGCTATGACTGGAAACTGCTTCTTACTCGGCAATTTGAGGATGGGAGGGCTCGTGCCTAAGACTGGGTGAGTTTAAATTAGAATTGAACTTTAAAGTTACAGAAAAAATCGAGAATAATACAATTGTTTTTATAATAACTATCGTGAGACATACTAAATTAAGCACAGCTCACTCCGAGCGTGAGCTGCGCGACGTCGCCGCGTCTGCGCACGGTGCTCATGAGGAAGAACCCCTCTGTCGTTCGAATCTAGTAGAGCTTTTCTTAGTATATTCACGTGAGTAACCCGCGATTTTACTTAATTTAATAATACAATTGGCTAGTTTAGGTTTAAAATAAAAAAAGACGTTAGTGGCGCCGTTTCTGTCCACCTGAGTGGTTTGTCTGATATTATAATAATCATACTGCTGCCTGCCTCATTGACCAAGTGGTCGCAAGTGCGACTGCCGGGCAAGGGGTCTGGGGTTCGATTCCCGGGTCGGGCAAAGTATTACTGGGTTTTAAAAAAAAATCTCAGTAGTAGCACGGAGTGTGGAATTGTGCCCGGTATATGGCAACAGACTCACCACCTATTACATGGGACTCATAGCATAAATAGTGAAAAGTGGGTGTTACATTGTACAGTGGCATAATGTGCACCTCTGCCCTACCCTTCGGGGATAAAAGTGATGTTATGTATAATAATCATTTTTTTTCTTTTCACAGACAATCTGGAATCTTCTGGTTGGAAACCAGGTCCTCGCCTCCTTTCTCCCGTGGATAAAACAATGACAAACAGCCTAACCTCTCTTCTGACACAGTCGGATAAATAAATACTCATATTATTATATTATAGTCTGAATCACACGATGTTTTGTTTTATTTAAACTTAACTTTTAACGGCACATTTGGTGCGGTGGCTGGGCAAGCTGCTGCGCAACGTGTATCGGGTTCGATTCCCGCACGGAGCAACTCTTTGTGTAATCCACAAATTGTTGTTCCGGGTCTGGGTGTCATGTGTATGTAAACTTGTATGTTTGTAAACGCACCCACGACACAGGAGAAATTCAGTGTGGGGCAACGTTTTTAAAAAAAATAAGAATAATAAGAAATAAGAAATGTATTCTCAGTAGTAGCAAGGAGTCTGGAATAGGGATGATGACAGGGTATGAAAATTAAAAATCTAATTAGTCCGTAAGTTGTGTAATGAAAAAATATTAGACACGTATTTATTTATTTTGTTGTATAATAAAATGATACTTAGATAAAACGAATCAAAGTTCAGGAGTGGGGGCTAAAACGTCATTTCTACGTATAAAATGTACATAGAAGTGACATCACGCGACATTTCAAATCAATAAATCGTCGAAAGTATTTGTTTCCGTAAAAAAAAATTAAAAATACGTGTCTAATGTTTTTAAATAATCTACCAGACGGACATGAAATAAAAATTAGTCATCTACACACTATTGTGAAGAAATGTATTCACAGTAGTAGCACGGAGTCTGAAATTGTGCCCGGTATATGGCAATAGACTCACCCCCTATTACATGGGACTTATAATACATCGACGAGCTTTACGTTTTCAGCTTACTCACATAATTATTAGCGAATTGCTTCTCATGAATATGAGCCTCTAGTATGGCTTGAAACTAGTCGAGTTCCTCGTCAAATGATTCTTTTTTTGTTGTATTTGTTATTATTAGAAGAAGGTTCTTAAGACAGAAAAAATCCTGAAAATCCTACGGGAACAAGAGAAAACGCGATTGTGCGTACGAAGTCGCGGGCAGAAATTAGTTTGGTATAAAATACCAGACAAATCTTGTTACATAAACAAAGTCTACATCTGTATAAAGCCCGACTGAATAGGTTGCTTATGCTGTGACTGCCTCGTTGGCCAAGTGGTCGCAGGAGCGACTGCAAAGTATTAGTGGGTTTTAAAAAAAATCTCAGTAGTAGCACGGGTTTATTGCTCCATAATAAAACCAATCTGGACCTATGGAATCCAACTGTGGCCAACAGCCAGCAAATCCAATACTATGAGCCTACAGAAACCTCAAAACAATATCCTTAGGGTTCTGTCATCGGCACCCTGGTACGCTCGCAACTCAGAAATCCACGAATATTTGCAAAGTATATATACTGAGTGTCGTGGTGGCCCGGAGGTTTAAGACGCCCACTTCTCATGCATGAGGGTGCGGGTTCGAAACCTACCAACGGCAAGTACCAATGTGACTTTTTCCGAGTTATATGTACTTTCTAAGATTATTTAGACACCACTGACAAACGGTGAAGGAAAAACATCGTGAGGAAACCTGGACTTATAATTTCTAATTATAAGTTTGAAATCGCCAACCCGCATTGAGCAAGCGTGGTGATTAATGCTCTAACCTTCTCCGTGTGAGAAGAGGCTTTGCTCAGCAGTGGGCATTTATAGGCTGTTGATGATGATGATATATACTGGATGAAATAAAGAAATATTCAACCAACTACAGCGACCGTCTGATAGATCACCCAAACCCATTTTCATCCATGCTGTTGCAACCGAACCAATTTCGACGACTCAAGAGGGCGGATGTGCTAGATAACTAAGGGGAGTCGGAGTAATGGCTCCTCCTCTCCAAACCCCAGCAACAATAACAACAAACCTGATTATAGTCGTACACACTGATCGCAGGATAAACCCAGAAAAAAAGTAGTAGCACGGAGTCCGGAATTGTGCCCGGTATATAGCAACTAAAAAAATAAAACTATAAATACAAAAATGAACGAGAACAATAAAATTTTAGTTACTAAAAAAGAGACTGCCTCGTTGGCCGAGTTGTCGCAATTGCGACTGCCGGGTAAGGGTCTCGGGTTCGATTCCCGGGTCGGGCATAGTATTACTGGGTTTTTAAAAAAAAAAAATTCTCAGTAGTAGCACGGAGTCTGGAATTGTGACCGGTATATGGCAATAGGTTCACCCCCTATTACATGGGACTCATTACATAAATAGTGAAAAGTGGGTGTTACATTGTACAGTGGCATGATGTGCACCTCTGCCTACCCTTTCGAAGACCAAAAGGCGTGATGTTTAGTAATATTTGACCATAACGCGTCACCTCTCGACATCTGAATTGTCTATATTTATTTATTTTTAAAATCGATGCCCTTTTGTCTTTTAACTTAGGCAAGAGATATTCTATAAAAGTTTATAGATCTGAAAAAAACAACCATTGTCTGTGGATTTGTTCTTAAAATAAAATATCAAACAGCAATTTGAAAAACTGCAAATATATGAGTGGTCTATGGTATATTTTTTTTATTTATTCCGCATCACTAGTCCTGTCAACTCGGTGTTTTTTATATTCTTTTTTTTTATTTATAAGAGTGTGTTTTTTAAAGTCAGATTTTTAGTATTTTTATAAGTCTGTGTTTTTGCTAAATACCATTTTTTTTTATTATATTTTGTGGATAAAATTTTTTTTCGAAGACGATTAAATGAAAAGTTTTGTTGTGAATTGAAAGATTGAACTTGAAAGATTTTACTAAGAAATATCAATAAAAATACAGTGTTCAATTTGACCAAATTTTATAATAATATTAATTTATGTTTGAATTATAAAATTTAAGTTTACAAAATGGTTAAAAACATTTTATTATATTTCCTTGGGCTCACAATCGGAACAGGTAAGCTAACCTACTATCAAGTGTGGGAGAGCCATGCTTCGGCACGAATGGGCCGGCTCGACCGGAGTGATACCACGGCCTCACAGAAAACCGACGTGAAGCAACGCTTGCGTTGTGTTTCGTCAAGTGAGTGAGGTTACCGGAGGCCCAATTACCCTCCCCATCCCCCATCCCCAACGATCCTCAAACTCCTAATCTCAGAAAGCTACGTGAGAAGCGCACAGTTATGGCCTGCCAACCATCTATATGATGGGGATGTATATGCTGTCGTGAGGGTCTTTTTTTAAGGGGGGGAAATCATCGAATGACTGCTCCCGCCTGGTTGAGGCGGGAGAGAGCGTCAGACTCTTATTGACTTAACACCACCCCGTTCCTTCTCCTGCACGTCGAGCCGGAGCCCCGGTAACCCGTTAGGTTTTCCGTGACTCCGAATCGGCATCAGCCCTGTTGGGCCCCATTCGTGGTGGTCTGATGGCTCTTTGAGGCGCGCGCGGAACGCAACGCGCCGTACGCTCGGGTCTGTTTCTGGTCGGACGGGGAGCCACCCATGCTCGCCGTCCGCAGGCCCGTGCTTACGGTGGCCGGAGATCGTGTGTCCTTCGCGATGGCTGCCATGCTAACCTCCTCCTTAGCTAGCATATCGTGAGGGTCTAGGAGCAGATTTTAATATACATTAACCGACATGAAAAAAGGGGGTTGTAGTCAAGTTTTTAAATGTAGTTTTTAATAAAGTATTTCACTAAAGTAACTATTTTTCCTTCTAGTATCCTGCAGATATAAGAGAGCAGATACGAAGCAAACGAATCGAATTCGTATACATCATACTAAAAACAATGATAATGTTCTAATGGACTTATGGACCAGATCTAGCGACTTGGACGAAGCATCTACATACAACCCTGAAGAGATGAATACTTACCACCTTTTTACCAGGTACGGGGATTACACTGCTACTTTATAAGATTAAAGTCAAAGACTATGCGGTTGGCCAGTGGCTGGACAACTGGCTGCTATGAAACAAAGTCAAAGTCAAAGCATTTATTTCAATTAAACCATAATTTGGTACTTTTTAAACGTCAACAAATACAAAAAAAATAATAGTCTGTCAGTCAGTCCGTCAGTAAAGCTAGGTGCTCATTCCAAAATGTAGATTCGAATGGAGAAGAACAAGCAAGAAACTCCATCCGTTACTCTTTTTAAAAAGTATGTTCTACAATGTCTCTGATACATATTCCAATACTGTACGTATATGTGAGAACAATACAAAGACACGCTTGACAAATTATACAAATTACGTACAACGTGCAGCGGATTCGATTCCCGCACGGAACAACGATTTGTGTGATCCACAAATTGTTGTTTCGGGTCTGTGTGTCATATGTGTGTGAAGTTGTATGTTTGTAAACGCACCCACGACACAGGAGAACATTCTAGAGAGGGGAAATGTTATTTAAAAAAAGTCAAAGTCGTTGTCAAAGACATTGAAATAAATGATATTATCAATCATATTATGAACCTCTAGCATACCTTGAAACTAGTCGAGTTCCTCGTAAAATAATTACGTGAGTAAGTAAGCCGAAAACATAATAATTAATTTTGTATGTCTCACGAAAATTTAGACATAAACAACAGCATTGAAAAAATAAATGCTAATATAAATTAAAAAAATAAAATTTCATACATACGTAAACATACGCCTATCTCCCATAGAGGTAAACAGAGACTGGAACGCCAATTGCCACGATTTTACATACCTCTTCTCTTCTATATATTTTCAAGTATGGGAGAGCCATGCTTCGGCACGAATGGGCCGGCCGAGTAGATGACCAGCGTAAAACAACACTTGCGTTATGTTTCGTCATGTGAGTGAAGTTACCGGAGACCTAATCATCCCCCCCCCCATCGACCCCCTTCCACAATTTCTCCAATCCCTGAATCCTTAACAATCCTCAAACTCGTAATCCCCAAAAGGCCGGTAACGCACTTATAACACTTATAGGGTTTCAGGTGTCCATAGACGACGCCGATTGCTCACCATCAGGTGATCCGTGTGATCGTCTAGTGGCTTATCATATAAAAAAAATATTCTTACAGAGAGAACCCAACCCTTAGTCA